GTGAATAAAATGTATGTGCATATATATCCTTACTGTTTTCTTATTTTATTCAAAAGGTAGCATATCATACATACTGTTTTACACTGTGCTGTTTCATTTAACAATTTATCTTGCAGATCTTTTCATTCGACACATAAAGAGCTTCCATGCAAACAGATCTGGGTTAGGAAGGCCTGGAGCCCAACAGATGAGACTGGTTTACCAGCTCCAGTTATCTATCAGGAGTCAGGATGCAGCTGGGCTTGAGCCAGCTGTCAGAACGAGAGCCTTGTCCTCACACCGACAATCCTTCTACTTCTCAGAAACTCTGTCTCAGCCCTGGAAAGGGCCATACCTAGAGACCCAACCAATTTGGTTGATCCAACCTACTCAACTTATACATGACAAACAAGGCTGGAGAGTAAGGGTCTTGTCCAAAGTCAGGCCATGGTCAGAAAGAGAATTAAAAGATTCCTGGCCTTCTGCCTTCTGGCCCCAAAGTCTCTCCCCAATACCACTTCTTTTAGAGATTTGTCACTACCCGCAGAGTGATGTCAAATTCCTGTATTTAGCATGGGCCCCAACTATAAGGAAGCAGGGTGTGGTATGGTGGGAAGAGTGAGAGCAATAGTCATAGAGTCAGGAAATCTGGGTTCTAGTCCTGAGCCCTCTTTGGGCCCTAGTTTCCTCATCTGTGAAATAAGAGGTCTGAACAAGATGCTAATGTCTCATCTAAAGTTTCAGAAATCTTTGATTTCCTCCTTCTAATCAAATCATACTGAAAGGTCTGGTTCTTACAATTGTCCCTGTACTCATGCTATTAGTTACACCTAGAATGTACCTTTTGTTTCTCTTCCTCCACATCTTTAAAGGCCCATCTTGACTTTTCCTGATATTTATTTATTCAAAAAATGTTCCATGTGAACAAGCTAAGCACCCCCCCTTTAGCACCTAATAATGTACTCTTCCTTGACCTAGATTACTCCTTCTAAAGAGCCACAAAAAGTGGCCTCAATCCTATTGTGTCTGCTCAAATGAAACTACAAAGATGCTTTCCCTAATCACCTTACCCAAAATAGGACTTTTCCAATCACTCTCCTCATTATAGTTCTCGTTGTAGCTCTTACTATACAATTATGTTTAGCCTATCTCATGACATTGGAATGCAAGCTCCTTTAAAGCAGCAATGTGTCTTTTCTTAAACTTAGAAGAGCACTTGACACATAATGAACACTCAATAAATATTTGGTGAATGAAAGAAATACAATTATTTGTAAACAATTAAGTAACAACAAGACCAAGCTACAGAGACCCCACATTTAATTCTACCCTGAGGTGTTTCTCAGACTCAGTAGCTTCTTCTGTAAGAAAGCCCTGCATCAATGCCCCAAACAGCAGAAAAATGTAACTCAGGGAGGGAGCAGAGATGTAGTCAGGCAAACAGCAAGGGGTCTATTTGGAGTCAGACAGGCTCTAGTTCTAAGCTCTGCCACTGTGCAACCTTAAGTATGTCCTTAACTTCTATAAATCAGATAACAACCTACCTCACAGGTATACAGTGAGGATCAGGGAAAATTATGTGAGCACATCTTGTCAAATACAAGGCATCATACCCTTTGGGTAAACTATTACTAAAGGTCAGAAGAATGCCCTAATTGTTAATATGGGGACAGCTTTATTTAAAGATAAACTGTCATATGAAAAAGAACCCATTCGTTAAAAAAATGCCTGCACAGGCTGGTGTGGCTCAGTGGACTGAGTGCTGGCCTATGAACCAAAGGGCTGACGGTTCAATTCCCAGTCAGGACACATGCCTGGGTTGCAGGCCAGGTCCCCAGTGGGGGGTGTATGAGAGAGGCAACCACACATTGATACTTCTCTCCCTCTCTTTTTCCCTCCCTTCCCCTCTAAAAATAAATAAATAAAATCTTTTTAAAAAAATGTGTGCACATACATGATTGTCTGTCCACTTATAGGTATACATACTTTGGAGAAAAAGCACAGGTCTAAAAAGACACACACTGAAAATGAACCTGACTTATAAGAAAACTGTTACCTGAAATCCTTCCACATATCCCACTCTTTAATGGGAACTCTTTTTGCCAGACTTCAAACAGCCCACTGACTACCACAAGACTGAATTTTCCAGTGGGAGAAATAAACTGCAGCCTCTTGTAGGTTGCCTCTGCGTGCCTCTGGGACACATTAGGCTGTCTATGGCTTCCACCCATTGTTCTGGGCTAGGTAATAAAAGCAAACCACTCAACCACCTAAGTCATAGCTCAACAACCCCTAGAACAGGTTAGTATTACTTGTTGCATTGGTTAGATTAAAAAACCAAGACTTACATCCTTTAAAAAGCCAATCTTGCTTAATATTCAACCCACATAAGTTTCTTCCTAACTTGAATGCCTATAGTAGTCACTGATGGACATGCACTTTGGTGCTAGATCTTACACCATCTCTGCAGAATAACAAATGACTTCCAAATGTGGCAAGAACTATATTACATTTCTCATATATTCCGAAGAGAACTTATCATAGGGCTTTCTTAGCACAAGGAAGATACTCTGAAACACTAATCTGAATTGAGCTTAATTCTCGGGAATTTAGGAACAGAGTCAAACTTAGAATTCTCACTTCTAAGTTTCAAATGTAATTCATAACCTACCAAAACAAAACTGATTATTCATACCACTTACATTTTAATTTTATGCATAGGCAAAGCTCCCTGAGGCATTCCATCCCCAGCAAGGAGACCTGACCCTCTTCCATTTTATGCCCCACAATGCACCCAAAACATTTCTCCCACAAAACCTGTAATAGTTTATTGCTCTGATGACAGGTCTGCTCCAAAAGGTGACTGTATGGTCCACAAAGGTAAGAATACCACCTAACTCCTCTTCTTTTTTCTTATTACCTGAGCCTAACACTATGAGACACACAATAGCACTTAACCACCTGAGAATGTTAGAAGAGGAGTAGGTTACAGAGAAAGCATAAGAAAAAGATTGTGGGATCATAAGACTGCCAGCCAGTATGTCCATACACAGCCAAATAATGTGTTACCAAGAACCACATTATTTTAATAATAAGAGTGAGAATAAACAAACATGTGAGAGTTAAAATACTTATAGGGTTTGATCACAGAGCAATGAGTTCATCTTCCATAATTAGTCTATCATCCCAACTTGAAAGTTTAGATGAACTATTATTGTCCCAAAATAAAGCTTTCTTGACCTTTACCTGGTGCTTCATTGGGGGGAAAAATTACTCAAATTTCAATCCTCTTCTTAAAAGAAGAAAAGGAGGAAAATCTAAAATCTCATCCTAATACAAGTGCCAAAGTAATTTTTCCACAATCAGTTAACAATCTTAATTATATTGAAGCATTTCAAATTAAATGTGTTATTAAACTATGAAGTATACATGAATTATGCACATAATTTGTAAAATGACAATCACTCTGGAATGAAGAAATTTCTCCTTTGATTCAATTTTTCAAGTAGCTACTAGTCAGAGTTTCAAGTTAATGAAAATTCCTTATTTGCCAAGTCTGTACAATAACCTAACCACATTAATCCTTCCAACTTTCTCACGTACAGATTGGCCTTAAGATTTGGAGTCATGCGTGTTGCCAAGAGGGGCCTGGTTATTTTATATTACATTCTTGCCCTAAAGCTAAGGAGTGAGGGTTGCTTCCTGCTAGAGGAAGGCCAAACACCGTAGAAAAACCATGGCCTTTGGAAATCAGCCTTGGATTGAAGTCCTGCCTCTACTATCCACAGACAATGTGACGTTGGGCTGGTAAGTCTCTCTGAACCTCTATTTCCACACTGGTAAAATACAGATAATTCAAACTTTCTAAAGCTGTTATGAAAACTACATTATATCACACACATAAAGTGACTACTAGCACATAATAGGGACTCAATAAATGTTAGTTTCTCATTCTACTTTTTTTGCAGCCACAAAATACTTATGTATTTTATTAGAGTAATAGCTGGGTTTTCTACTTTGGTGTCATTTGTAGACCTTCTGGCAGCCAGGTCACAGAGTTCATTTAAAAAATTTACACGTGTTGAAGATGATCTATGCCAGTTTTTTAAAAGAAAGTTGTTAAGGGAAAAAAGCAGCTTGATAAGCAGTTTTCTCCTACCTTTGATTCAAAAGTAATTTTTTTTAACAGTCTAAGTATTTCCAAAAACCTTTTCTTTATTTCAGCTCCCACTGATTTGTGTGAATTGTTGCTGTTATTAGAGTAAATAACCAACACATTTATTCTGAGAAACTACTAGCCAGAGGAATCAGCAGAAGGAAACTTGGTACAGAAATCCTTGGCAGAATTCTAGGTTTCCAATTACAAAGTTTGCAAAATTTTGTGAATTCTAACAAAATGGTATCAACTTTTGCCTATGAATACAGGGTTGTTTTAGAAAAAAATTCTTGTATTTATTTTATTACTTTATTCTGGATTTATTTAGCTGAACATTTGCAGGAAGTGAGTAAACTATTATATTACTTGCTACTTATATGGTTAAGTCACCGCACAGCACTAAATATCTCCTGAGGAAAAAAACAGCTTAGGATTTAAGCCAGGATGGCAAATTTTATACCAAAACAGAGAGCTTCTACAGATGCCTCAAATTTTGCTTAAGTTTGAAGAATTCTACTATTTCAAGATTTTTTGTTTTTTTCAAGGAGAGTTTGCTACTGTTATTAGTTTAGTAAAATGTAAAAATTCCCTTCCTCCATCCTGCTGGGCCATAAGAAAAGGACACTAGTTGGCAGGCATGATTTTTATGCTGACAGCCAGAGCTATTTTGAGCCACTTTAGTACTATCCAATAACTATGCCAAGAAAAAAGGTTAGCATGACATTAGCAAGCTAAAAAGTAAATTATCAGTTTTTTTGTCACTTAATAAGCACATTATTCAACAACTCCACAGCTTATCTTTTAGTTATAAATAACAACACAATTAAGTAACATAAGCCATTAAACCACAGTTAGAAAGTCCTACCTTTTGTGCATCTCCTGTCAAATACGCAATGGCCAGGGTGGGCAGAATCATGAATAGTGCATTGTAATAGAGAAGACCATATTTTCCCAGCTCCTAGGAGAGTAAATAATTAGGTGTTTCATTTGGTTCTAGCAGACAGATACACAAAACCCTAAATAAAGCACCACGCCTCATTACACACAGGTCCCCCACAATATATGCAGCAAATTAGGCAAGTCAGGAGTTATCAAATATAAAGAAATAGACTGGGCTTTCAAAAGAAAAACAGAGAATAAGCTTTTAAATTTATTTAAAATAAATTCCTTGAGTGTTTAAGATCAGATAATAAAAATAACATCAACTGTTGCTTAAAAAAAGTAATGAGGAAAGAGGTTATGTTGAACATATATACACAGCTCTATAGAAATATCTCCCACAGCCCTTCCCTTTCCAGAACAGAATGAAAAGTCATCAGGTTCATGTGGGCTTTTCAGAATCATGACAGAGTACCATTTAAGAGAGATAGGTGGATAGATGGACAGACAGACTCACCCCTACACCAACACAGACAGACGTAACTTTCCAGTGGATTATTTCTGAAAATGTGTATGTGAAGTACATTAAAAATCAAGATTATTATAACTACAATTCCTAAAACTTAGTATGACTAGTTGTAATCTCGGCTACCAGGGAGCAATGAAGGACCACACACATCTTCAAACACAGGGAGCCTGTGAGGACTCTGGGTCTGGCTCTGACTCACACACTTCTGGGACATTCACCAGGAAGCAGAGTCACCTGAAAAAGTAGGCCCGAGTTTAGATTGGGAGGAGTGGAGAGGCCGGGGCAAAGGAGTAGTGAGGATAGGGATGTGGTATTTGTCTAACTTCTGTCACTGAAAGATCACTGAATTATGTAAAAAATTAAACCACTTTCTCAGAAGAAGCTTTGAAAGATTGGCAACAAATATCCAACAACAGAAAACTAGTTGACTAGGCTATTACACAACCATGCAATTAAATATAATGCACCCACTAAAAATGTCTAGTAATACTGAAAGGTGTTCATGAAACAGTACTAGATGAAAACTGTAGGTTAGAAAACATTATACATCATTGCTCTTTCAAAATTTTACACAAAGTGTGTACATGCACACACACATACTAAAGGACAACCATCAAAACAGCACTTCTCCCTTGATGGTAGAATTAAGGAAGATTTATACTTTCTTCCTACTGCTTATCTAATGTTTTCTGCCACTTCCATTGTAAATATGCATTATTTGTGTGATTTCTTTAAAGTTAAAAATGTTTTAAATTTAATAGTTGCATTCATGTCTGAAATGCAGCACCAAGTTTTCATGTCACGTGACTCATGCTCAAAGGGCCATGAGTATAAGCAGTTCTGGAATTAAAGGTAATAAAACTCCTGATTTATTAAGAGCTTCTCAGTGTGACGTTACTACCTCTTTGATCAACCAAAGAACTGACTGCTTGTGGCCACCACAGCCCTCAGTGAAAAGGCACACCTAATTTCTAAAGCAACAAGAAAAAGGCCACAGGACCAAACAACCTTAAGCAACAGGTACGCAGGGAGCCAGAGACCTGGGTGTTAATTCCACCTCTCAAAAAGGATGACTACACACCACACAACATACACATGCACATTCCATCCAGACAACTGACAAATGCTGAAAACTTAAATGCCAAACTGTTCTGTTTTTTTTTACATTTAAACTGTTTTGAGTATCTTTCACCCTGACTTCTTAAAGAGAGTGCATAGACTAAAATTTAACTTAGGGCATCACCATAAACATGCATTACTGTGTTGTGTTCTTATATGGTGTTGGCCTTAATGCTGTGTAACAGCCCCTGAATCATTTCTGAGTACTTCCATCTGATTTTTATAGTTTTCCTGTTTGTTTCTCTTGCTATTAGCTGGCCTTTTATACTGCTGGTAAGCCTCTCTCTGGCTCTAAATAGAATTCCATCCTCTAGTTTGTTGCTCCTAATCCATGAAAAGCAGATCAATATGCTTAAAAGGTCTTATATAAGTAAGTCACAAGTTATTTCTGAATATGAAACTAAAGAGCTCTCCTGGGAATAAATTACTACTCAGAAACCCTCCTTGCTTTTTTCCAGGTTCTAGGATAGACTGTGCTGTTGAATAAGGCAGCCACTAGTCATATGCAGCTATTTCAATTTCATTATAATTACATTAAACTATTAATTCAGTTCTTTAGTTGTACCAGTCACTTATCAAGTGCTCAACAGTCACATGTGGCTAGTGGCTACCATTAATGGATGGCAGAAATACAGACTATTTCCATCATCACAGAAAAACTCTACTAGACAGTACTGTTGAAACAGCTGAGGCAGCCAGACAAATGAAGTATTACTCATACCTATTTTCTAAGACAACAAATGGACTGAAAGGAAAAAAAAACAAAACAGAATAAAACTAAATCTCTAACTGGCCCCTTTTCTTAAGCTGTTTCAAAAAGATAAAAAATTTTTTAATAGCAGCTTCCATTAAAATGCAATCATCATACGGAGTTGTCATGGTAAGTACATGGAGAACAAGACATAAAAGGTATGTTTAAAGAAAATTTGTTGGAAACAGATCTACACTGTCCCTAGTTCCTCAAGGATATTAAAAATATACATTCTAGCCCTGGCTAGTGTGGCTCAGTGGCTTAGGTCGCCAGTTCAATTCCCATTCAGAGCAAATGCCTGAGTTGCGGGTCAGGTCCCCAGTTAGGGGCAGTGAGAGGCAATCTATGGATGTATCCCTTATACATTGATGTTTCTCTCTCTCTCTTTCCCTCTCAGAACAAATAAATAAAATCTTTAAAAAAATAAACAAACATTCTCTGAAAATGAGAACTATTGGGATGGCCATGTATTTTCCCAGCTCTTTCTGGAGAAGGCAAAGCCCCTTGCCAAGACAATACCAACTCAATACTAACACTACTAAAGAGTAGGTTAACAGTGGTATTTATGATTTGAACTCCAAAAATGGACATGAAATAGTTTCAGAAACACTGCACATATAATAGAGCTAACTAAAAACTAAGCAGATAAGGTGATCTGACTGAAAAGAAAACATTGGGTAGGAAAATGAGATAAAGCCATGGTCTGTTACGATGAGATAAAATACATCAGCTATTCAGGAAAAACCAGGGTAATATCTATGATAAATATTTCACATGGGACCTCATATAGGATACATTATGATATAAAGGACAACTCCTTCCATAACAACCCTACAATATGTAACCCTCAGTTCCATATAGCTTCTTCTTATACTAATATAATCTTGTGAGTATACCATCAGGTAGTAAAGCAAGGTGGCTCAATTAACTCAGCTTTCTGACTTGGTCTAAAAATAAAATTTAGCATGTCTATACTCAAAGTATATAATAAAAAAGAAAAGTATATAGTAGACAATCTAACACAAATATCTCTAAAGCCTTTGTGTGCATGCTGCAAGTTGAGAGAAAAGAGCTAGAAATAATTCATGAGATCTAGGCCAGTGACCTTAGTGCTGTCTCTGAGAAAGATGCTAATGCTCCCTAAAGTGTCCCATTATTTGTATGAAAAATACACAAAGTCCATTTTTTTCCTGCAGCACCTTCCAACATCATGTTTCCTCAAATCTGCTCAAGGGCTTCCAGATACTTTTTTTTTTGTCCAGGTCCCTCACCAAGTCCCCTAAGACAGGCAGGAACACTTTTCGACACTTTTCTCTACCCTCAGAGATCCTGTCTTTCCCAACCCTCCTATGTTTTCTTTATTCCCTGCTGTTTCCCTGATGAATTAACATTATCATCCCCAAATTCGGTAAACATCTCTTAAAGAAACTTTATATTGCTACCTACCTTTGAATCTAATTTTTGTTTTACATATGCACCATTTGCTGCTGTCAGGACATCATTTATCAGAATAAAAACATATCCTTCCAGATCAAAAGCCAAGTCAGAGCTGCAAAACATAAGCAACACTTTAATAACGACTTGCATTCACAGAACATGCATTTAATTTGAAATAAGTCTGAATGCAGTATTGCAAGAACATTTTTTTATTTAGGTACATGAACATTAGGCATTTTATTAACTACTAATATTTCTTGATTTCTGGTTACAAATTGCAATTTTAAACTCTAATAGAGTCTTCAGAAATGAGAAGCACTAACACCTAAAATCATTAACAATAAACAACCATGTCCATTAAACAGCACACCGCTTTGAATTCAAAGTCAGACAACAACAAAAGCAACCAAATTCACTATTATAATACACCTGAAGCAGGCAGAAGGCATCGGAGCTCAATTTCACAGGCAAGGTAACCAAAAGGATGAGTCGTTTGTTAACCTGTCATTTTCCAAAGGTTCACACAAAAGGTAAGACTCTCCGGCACAGGTGGTTGGACTACTAGATGGAATTTCTGATGTGAGAAATTAAGCTACAACAGTGTCCAAAAGCACACAGAACTCAAATACTTAAATTATTTAATGTGCCTATGTGCTATGTTCACTGGCATAAGGGAAACTGAAGTTTTCTAGTATTTAGAAGAGATAAGAATTTATTAAACTCAACCGAATAAATAAAAATCTAAAAAAATATCCCATCATATTTTAACACCCTAAATAGTGGTCCCACATTCTGTGATTTTGCAAAGACACTACATATCTATATGTATCTATACCACTGTAGTGGTGTACCTATACCATTACATGGAACAAGACTTCTGAGGAGCTCTATGCCACTGCATTTTTAGGCAGAACTAGCCTAATGCATACTCCCCCTTTCAAACAGCCTGACAATAGGTTTCAGATTCCCTTCCTCCCAATCTCTTTCCCAAATAAAAGGTTCTAATTAGACAAGGCTGGTCCAGACAGCAATTCTCCTCAGAAACTTTGTAGGCTAGAGTTAGTTCCCTGAGGAACTCCTCTTGTTTGGCTCAATTTTGGATCCCGCAAATTTCAAGGAAAAGCTTCCGAACTAGCAGGGCACCTCGAAAGAAAAGTAGGATGCTCATATAGAATTTTTCCCCTTTTTGCGGCTGTGAAGCTGGGGAGATCCCAGCCGGGCCAAGCACAACGGATCTCGTCCTCCCAGCCTTAACACTCTCAATAAAATGGTTTGACCCCCACCCCCACCCCCCCAAAAAAGAATTTTTCTCCTAAGAGGCAATAATGTTGAGAGGGAAAAACAGTTAGCTATATAATGAAATTCTAGTAACCAATTATTCTATCTCCCGCCCCTCTCTCCTTTATAACAACGAAATTTCACTCGGACATTTAGGGTGGAATAGACTTTGACTTATATTTCCCACTCCCCTCCCCCATCTATACCACAGGGATGTAATGAAGGTAATGAAGGTATAAATGAGACAATCCAAGAGATATATTGTAACTCCCAAATAAAAAATGTATGTCAGACAGAATCTGTGGCATTATCAAACCCATATATGCATGATCTGGGCTGAGCAAAATGTTGTAGATGGCTTCTAGCCATCATTTTAATTTTCTGAGTCTTTGGATATATACTTTCTCCATCCATTTGAAAACTAAAACGTAAGGACAATGAAAAAAGTTTTAATAATTTAATAAACTATGTAAGTTATAGCATTTCTGATATATCTTAGGTGAGACCAAATAAAGCAATTCTATTATTTATTATTCTACAAAGTAAATAATTCATTATCACTTGCCTTTTCTGAGATACTATTTTCTTTAGCAGCATGCAAAGTAAAAAAATGCTACATGGTTTATAAAAGCACATAGACCGTGGAGTCAGGCACAGATTCAAATCCAGCCAGTTCTGCTGTTTACTAGTTGTATCACCTTGAACAACTTACTGAATTTAGCTTTTAGTTTCCTCAACTAAAAAATAGAAAAATTACATCCATACCTTTTAGAGTTGTGAATATATAACTAATATGTATAAAATGTTAAACATATTGTGTGGCACATGATATGTGCTCAATCAGTAGAAAATAGTATAATAAATCCTAAAATACATGAATTTAATTTTTAAGAATCCCCAAAATTTGATTTTTGCTAGCCTTGATCTTAACAAACCAAAAAAGATTTAACTATTTGAAGGGTCTTTTGGATGCTTTTCAAAGATATAATTCTTATTTAGCCTATAAAAATTATCTTTATTGTAACTGGTCATTATCAATAATTATTGACCATTTCTAACATGCTCATAGGTTTATATAGGCCCACATCTTACCTGGCAGCAACAAAGGCTCCAATAATCATTGCAAATACAGTCATTTTAATACTCCAAGAAAAAGTCTTTCTACAAAATAAGAAAATTTAAATACATAAACAGACTCATTTTACAACATAGGCAAAAAAAAGGAGAGATGTTTTCATTGAAGAGAAGCTATAAACAGTCATATCTTAAACTGGAAACATATGTTTCCAAGGAAATGGATATTTAAAAGCATGCTTTTGATGAAGCAACTTATTTTATTATATAAACAAGCATCTCAATTTTTCATTATTCTTATCATTTGTTATTATTGAGTTTGAATTTCAGCAAATCAGTATTTAAGCTAAAAAAGGTCAACACATTTGTAGTAAAAGTAGCCAAGCCAGGAACACTAATTAAAAACTATACCAACCCAGTGGCAGCAGTTGGTACGATTCCTTGAAAGTAAATCTCATGTTCAGACAGGTTTCTAACTCCAATTCATAACCTTCCCAAATACTGCTCCCATAAACTATCAATTCCTATAGCAAATGGATAAAGTTGCTTAAACTTTCCAAAAGATAAAGTAGATCAAGACAAATAATTTTAACATTTTTATTAGACAGTTACTATACTGGGTATCTTTTCTAAGTTATTAAAGTCTGATAAAGACTAGATACTAGAAATTTAGCTCACTTGAGTAAAACTCCTTCAGCAAACATTGTAAACAAGATGGAGAACCTTCTCAGAACTGTAAACATTGGCAAGCTGCAAAAAAAAATAAAAAGAAAAAGAAAAAAAGATAATTAGGTAAAATAAAGTTTAACAATTTATTTTTTAATTGTTTTTAAAAGATTCTCCAAATTAGCATTTTAAAATAATGATAATCTTTTCCTTCCATTATGGTATGATCAAATTAAACCCTAATTTCTCTCTAGAAATAATTCTTATTTGAAAGCCTGAAAGGGTTGCTTTTACAAAACTAGTAGAAATGAGAAACACCAAACTCTGAAACAGTAAAGCTCATATATCTATTATCAAAGACTACTAACAGCCACATTTTTTATTTTACTTATTACGTATACTATGCACCCTGAAGGGTAACCATATTAGTCTTTAAGAGAAAAAAGACCTCTTTCTCCTTTTTTTTTTTTTAAAGATTTTATTTGTTTATTTTTAGAGAGGGAAGGGAGGGAGATAGAGAGAGAGAGAGAGAGACATCAATGTGCGGTTGCTGGGGGTTCTGGCCTGCAACCCACGAATGTACCCTGGCTGGGAATCGAACCTTGGACACTTTGGTTCCCAGCCCACGCTCAATCCACTGAGCTACGCCAGCCAGAGTCTTTCTCCTTTCTTTACTGTAGTCTCTTCCCACTCCCAACCCTCCAAATAACACCTACAATAATCTTATTCCATGAGACATCCCTTAATATTCCATAATATAGTCATTTATGAATATATCTCATCTCACTGCAAAGTGCCTTGTATTTAGCTGGCAATCAAAGAAAGGGCGTGAATGAATGAATGGATGGATGACAACGGATGAAAAAGGGTGAACTCTATTGAGCAGCCTTTGCAGCAGGTGTGCATTTCTTTCCAAGTGGGTACTGAGACGGAAAAGGATGCCCTGACCATGACAAATCTGACTTCGTGGAACCCTCTCCATAGATACCATCATGATCATTCCGTCAAGTTTCTTGGGTCTGAAGAAAGAAGAAATAAAGAACACTTTGTCTCTGATCCTCATAGATTTCCCCATTCTATTTTATAGTCATCCAGTAAGTATGCCAGGGGTTTACCTCATATGGAAGTGCTGAAGCTATGGGTTTCTGTTAAATGGTTTACTTGTGTGTATAATTTTGACATCACATAACCCAATACACACTGTCCTTCTTAAGTGGAGAAGCCAACAGTTGGAAGGTTAGAGGATAAGACGACAATGTTGTCATGGAGTAGAGAGCTGTCACTTCTTTCTAAAAGTGATTAGGCTGTCTCTATAGTTACACAGCTGTGTATAAAATATTAGTCATGTTTAAACCAGGGTGTTTGTTATTTTATCTCATGTTAAAAGGAAAACTACAAAAGTTCTCATATCTACCCTCTGATTTTGCTTATGGAATTTGTCAAGAAATATAGTATTTATAAATTATATTAAAGAATTTCAATCCCAAAAGCCTGGTATATATTCTTCACTACTATAGATCTGGAAAAATAATGAAAATCTCTTATCACAGCATTTTAGAACATGTTAAGATTTCTATCATCAAACTGAGAGATAAAAACCCAAAACAAACAAAAATCCTCTTTCTCTTTAAACATAAAGAGCTTAAATTAAAACCTTTAATGTAATCATTATTTAGTAACAGAAGCTTTCTGGTCCTTTCACTTATTTCAAAATCAATAACAATGTGTTAAATATGACATTCAAGTACAGTTTTAAGAATACATTTATTAACCTCACTAGTAAAATAAAGTTATCCATACTTCAGTTTCTTTGTGCTGAACAGTCCTGTGATTTGGTTCCCAAAATATAGTAGAGGTAGTGGAAACGTCTAGAAAATTTAAAAAGGGATAACAAAACTCAGTAATAAAGATAGCTAAAACAGGGCCTTTCAAATAGAAACATTTTGTTTATATGATTAAATTCTTTCCCTCTAAAACATAAGATTAGTTCTCATACCCAATTTTGGCCCCCATATAGTGTCCAAACAACATTATTCCTGGATAAACAGCACTACTATGGCAGAGACAGGAAAGCGAAAGGATGGGGGGGGGGGGCGGGAACAAATATGAATATGAGCAAACATGTGGGACAAACACACTATTCACTTTAAAGTATGATAATGCATCAGCCCACAGCTCTAACATCAGCAGAAAAAGGAAATGCATTTCATCTTCACGAGGAGTCAGGCAGATACAGACAGAAGAATAAGAATATAAGCCCGAAGAATAATGAATGAAGAATATACTAGCTACATTAAATGTAGAACATTCAAAAAGTTATACTCCCACAAAATGTTCATTAATTTAAAAAAAAGAACATGGTTTCTTGGGCTTTTTCTCTTTAATTTTAAAGAGATTATGGAATTTAAAAAAAATACTACATTTATTCTTTATCTTCATTATACCCACTCTGGATTGGGCGACAACAAGGCTGCACTTTTTGAATACGCAACACACTGATAAAAATATATATAGTGAATTCTTTTCAGAAAATAAAGTATTACTTTATCTATTTATTTATTTACCTTTCGAGGTACATTGCTGTCAAGGTCAGGAAACTTGACGACTCTGAGCGCCTTTCCCACCCAGAGAACTGCCACTGTAGCCACCATCTGTAAACACATAACACAGATTTACTGTTCCACATATAAAGGCACACACAGAAGTTCTAACGACATAAACCGCGTAAGGCTGAAGATTCCAACTAACCTGGCCAAGTCCAACACATAGTGAGGAGGGAAATCTACAAAGCGGTAGAGAGAAAAAACAGTGTCAGAAAAACTCAAACGTAGCTCTTTGAATCAATTTGCATATCGGCAACGTTGACAGGCATTTTGATACGAAACGCACCAATGTCAGCCCCTATCCAGGTGAAAATCAGTGAGAAAAAACCCGCGGGTAGTCAGGCAACACCACTGATTTTGTAGCCTCGGGCGGCCACTTGTCTCATCCTGTCCCTTTCTAAAATTTCAGTCCGCTGCTTGAAATGGATTTTTTTTTTAAGGAAGTGGAGACTTGGTCTTTTCAAGGGTTTCACACCTTTAAAGCAAAAATGCTTCTGCCTCAGGGTTCCAATGACAGCATCAGGCTCCCTTTAAACCGGCTTGAGGACGCTCAGGTCCCCAGAGGCTGTCAGCGAATTGGCGAACCCTGAAGCCCAGTCCCCCGGCCCAAGCTGGGGAAGACAGAGGGCATCCCTCGCTCTGCTCCCCGCCTGGCTTACACAGAGACCAACAGGTCACCAAGCAACTCCGCTCCAGCGCTCTGAAGGGGAGGGTTTCCCGGGCACTGCTCGGCGGGCACTGCCGGCAGGCGCCGTCCGAACGCGGCCCCGAACGCGCGCCGAGCCGCCCAGAGCTGCGCGCGGGGAGCTGGACCCCTAACCCCAGGCCCGGGCGCCCAGCCGGCTCCGCCGCCCGGGCCGCGTGTCAGCCGCCCGCCCTCCCCAACTCCAGGCCAACTCTCTTAAGCTTTAACTTTAGCAGCCCAAGTCCAGGGAGCCGGCGTCCCGCCACCGCAGCTGCCGCCCGCTACTGTGCGCGGTCTCGGCTGCCGCCGCCTCGGCCCTACCTGTAATTGGTGAGCACGCTCTTGTTGACCACCACGATGAGGAAGGAGCTCACGCCATAAAAGCCCGCGGCCAGCAGCTTCAGGAACACGGTCAGCGTTTCGGCCGACGCCATCCCCAGCTGCTCCTCATGTCTGTGTGTGGAGGATTTCGCGGGGGCTTCTCCTTTAACCCGGGCATGCTGACGTCTATGAACTTCCGCCATAGCTGCGGCGGCGGCAGCGGCCTGGGAGGGGAGCAGCGGACCGGCCTGGCGGCGAGGCCCAGCGGCGGAATGCCTTGCGGCGGCAGCACCCGACGAACTCGCAGGGCTGGAGCCGACTGACTGGGCCGGCTGCGCGCTCTCCGCCTGAGCTTTCCGCACCGCCGCCGCCCGTCCCCGCCCATGGATAGGAACGCCGCAGTTCACACTCCAGGACTTTGCTCAGGCATTGTGCAACGCGAGGTCAGAGGGCAGGGCCGTCAGGGGATAGGCCTTGGCAACGAATAGAAAGGGACTCGAGAGGGGGCAGCGGCCACTCAGGGTACAGGGCTAGCTGGAGAAGAAGCCAAAGGGCAACCACTTGGGGACCCAAGAACGCCGGACTGCAAAGCACAGCCTTGGAGCGACGCCGCCACTTTGCGCCTGCGCGCAAGCTTTGCTCTGTCTCCCAGCAGCCGCGCACCTAGGATGGAGATGACTGAGGCCTGCGGGACTGGAAGTCTGTTCTCCAGATAACTGCGGCATTGAAGATGCAGGCCTTCCTCCACTTGGTAACAAGTGGCTGACTGAGTGAGAAGTTCACAGGTTGTGTGCGCCTAAACTCGTTGTGAAGGCTCTTTTGGTCTCTCTAGCAGAGCGTCAAAGCCACTCAAAAGTATCAGATGTGGGTCAAAAGTAAACATTCAGCTTTTCATCTGCATTGCCTCAGACTTTTTACATTTTCGGAAACCAGAAAACATCAAACATGTGTTCTTTGCATATCAAGGGAAAATTTTTAAAGAAAAATATTGACATGTCCAAAAAGAGATAATCAAGTACCTTGTGAACTGATGAAAGAGCAAGGTGTTAGGAGCTGAATTCCAATTCTAGGTTTCCTAGAAATGCTGTGTCAGCTGTGTGCTCTTGGGCCAGTTAGTTGAGCTCTCTGAGCCTGCATTCTCCTCATCTCTATGAAAGTAAAGCTAGCACAGAGCTAGTTTTCAGTTAATAGCCATTATTATATAACAAAAACAAATCATTATTATCATATTAAGCAAAGAAATGACATACCTAATTTTAATGTCAACAAAGAAAAAGAACTTTGAATTATTTCCATAAATATTTTGTCTATAACTTTGTATCTCTTTTTTCTGTATTTTTCAATTGTGCTAAAAATATACATAACATAAAATTAACCATTTTATCCTGTTTTTTATTATGGTAAAATATGCATAATATAAAATTTATTTTTTAAGACTTTTTGAGTGTACAGTTCAGTAGCTTAAGTACACTGACTTTATTGTGCAACTCACAATTACCCATCTCCAAAACATTTTCATCCTCTCAAATTGAAATTATGTAACCACTAAACAGTAACTGCCCTCCATTCCTCATCGTCTAGGAACCACTCTTCTACTTTTACTCTCTATGAATTTGAGCATTCTTGGTACTTCGTATAAGTGGAATCATGCAATATTTGTCCTTTTGTATCTAACTTATTAGCATGTTTTCAAGTTCAAATACATGAAGCATATATCAGAATGTCCTTCCAATGTATGCATATTTGTTGGTCTATATCTTTCGACTTATTCTGGGAACACCTGGTTTTTCTAATGTTCCTTAGGAACAAGTGGCAGATGGGATGAAGTTCTTAGCATGGCTCATAGGACTTAGATGATGTGGCTCCTGCCACATCTACAGAAACAGTCCTCATGTTTCTACTCCTTAGCTGCCACTAAGTCAAACCACCCATCCCTGAAGAATGATGTGGGTTCCAGTGTCTTTACTTCTATGTGTTTACTCCCATTATTCCCCCTATCTGGGGTGCTTTTTCTCTCTCCCCCTTCCTCCATCTCCTGAAGAACTCTTACTTTTCCTTTAATATTTAGATAAAACATTACCTCCTCACTGGGTGACTTCCTTCACACTGTTCTCCACAGAATTGGAGAGCCCCTCCATGGTGCCCCTCCCAACCCACCTTTGTGCATCCCCTTTATAGAGGCTCTGGAATCCCATGCTTACATGTCAGTCTGTTCCACTAGACAGTGAGCTTTTTGAGAACTGGGAGAGGTGGTGACACCTAGGACAGTTTAGATGTTTTTGTTAAGTGAACCAATGAATGATACAACTTTTTAACAGTGAGGAAAATGGCCAAAACTGTCTTTTTAACCGCTAGCAGCAAAAGAAAAATAACTAGAAAGTTATACTTTGAGAAACATCCTTTGTGAAAAAAAGATTATAAAAATATTAATGTCCCTCATAACAATAGCAAACAAGCAAAAACAACTCATATCTCATAAGTATCTTTCCCTCTTCCTCTCCCACCCCAACCCCTTCTCAGAGGGTTCAATTGGTAGCAGTTTGGAGGCTGTGCTTAGAGCCATTTCCTATATATGTATGAATACATATACATATACATACCTACACACAAATATTTACATACATTTTTTAACATGCATAGAAAGAACTAGGAAAGAATGCTGATCTCAAACCAGACACTGCCTCTGACACTAATTTTTTGACCTTGGGCAAGTTACTTAGTATTACTGTGCTTCAATTTCCTCATCTATACAATGGGGATAACAATAGTATGCAATTCAGGATGGCAGTGAGAATTAAATGGGTTAATAAAGGCAAAATATGTAAAATATAGTACATGATTTGTAAGTGTTTATAATAATAATTACTGTTATTTTAATTATTATCATTCAGTCTTTCTCTTTTCACATAGTGTTCTTCAAAGGCCTTTCTGTGGCAATACAGAAACTCTACCTCATTGTTTCTGGGGGAAAAAATGGCTGCAGAGAATTGTGTAAGCTAGATGCATTATAATTCATGTAACCCTCCCTATGGACATTTAGGGAGTTTTTCAGTTCATAAACAATACAGCCTTTATTATCCTTGTCCATTCAACTTTGTATAAGTTTCTAAAAGTGGAATTGCTTAATTAAAGTCTACAATTGTTTTTTTAATTATAGAATTAACAAATTGAGCTCCAAAGAGATTGTACCAGTTTTATATTTCCACTAACACTATCAAGATAAGACCACATAGTAAAGTCACATGGTAACAGTGGATATCACTACAGGAAGCCAGATAATAGTTTCAAGGGCTGTCCTGGGGAGCATGAAATTCTAGGTGTAAATTTCTGCTATCAATCAATTGCAGTTACACAAAATGAAATGAAAATAAATCTCCTGAAAGTACTGACCCAAACAACTACTGTTGTTTTTCTCAGCATGATTACATTATTGCTTAACAAATATTAAATATCTACCATAGACAAGGCAAGAACTGCATTGGATTTTCTCAACACCAGAAATGATCTGTGGACCTTCAGTAAATTGCTGTTAAGTCTAACGGAGTCAAGCATTCACAATAGGTGCCCACAAAGATAGGGTACATGCCCATACTCTAGCAGGGTATTTAAAGTAGGTATTTAGACTTTTAGGTACTTATAGGTATTTTAGGCACTCAAACCTATTTCCTAACATCAGTAATACTAATCACAGAATTATATGGGGGGGTGTATATTATTTGATAAACTTGAATAAAGATTGGACCATATCTTAAAAAGTTGTATAAAATTGTAAAGACTAGATTTAAATGTTCTCGTTGATACACAAATCTATTGTCTATACATACTGTATATCTTGCTAGGTGGAATTACTAGCAGAAAAACTTCTTTGTAATTGAACCATGTCTTTTTATCAAAACATTGCTTTAGCCATCATGTTTCTCCATGAGGGAAACTGATTCTGTACACTACTTGTTAACATGACTCATATTTCTTTTCCTTATACTTCTCATTTCCCCTTGGCTCACTTGCTCTTATACTGGAATTAGTGTAGGCCTTTTTTGGTATTCATTTTCATTCACCAGTTTCTGTTTAACTCCCAGGCTAGTTCATACCCAATGCCCTGCTGTGTTGCACCACTGATTATTTTATAGTTGGGGAACAAAGATTATCTCGTTTTCTATTTGAACAATTCTGTTCAAATGCTTTTACAATTCTGAGAAGCAAAAAGCATGACAGGAGCGCAGAGCTGCTCTGCAGTTCCTCATACTTCTCTATGTTGGCCTGGAAGGAATAACTTTATTGACCACTGATGATGAGTCTGGCAATGTGCTACAACTGCAATTCATCCTTACCTATGTAGGAAGTAGGTATGATGAAAAAACAAATGAAGAGGAAAACAAGAGCCAAGAGGAAGTATTAGGCATAACCTGAGTCCCACAGCTCTAAGGGACTCACATATAGATTTAGCCCTAGTCTGTGCTTCTCCGCTAGATAATCCTGCTTCATTTTGGGTAGGTGGACATACTTTCTTTTAAAAGATGTTCTTGTAATACCATTACCTCCTTCATTTACCAAGTTTAGTGTTTATCAGCACTACAAAGAAGAATAAACAGGGTATAAGAACATCTATCTGCCCTGGCTGCAGTAGCTCAGTGGATTGAGCGTGAGCTGCGAACCAAAGTGTTGTAGGTTCGATTCCCATTCAGGGCACATGCCTGGGTTGCAGGCCATGGCCCCCAGCAACCGCACATTGATGTTTCTCTCTCTCTCTCTCTTTCTCCCTCCCTTCCCTCTCTAAAAATAAATAAAATCTTTAAAAAAAAAAAAGAACAGCAATTTATTGAAGTCATAGTCAGTCATAACCTTTTCACAAATACTACCACACTAGACATCAAATTAGGCATTTTGGAAATATAAAGACAGTTTAAACTAAAAATGTTTACAACTGAATTTTATCCTAAGTCAATGTCTTTGAATCCTCTATCCTGGCGGACTGGCCTTACCATCCACCTATTCACCATGGCTCTTCCCTCTCTATAAGTGCCCCTCAATCACTCTTCAACTCACACCAAACTAGTTTTAGCCTCTCCACTACACTGAAGCTGCTCAGCCCTAAGTCACCAATGACCTCCATGGAAATAAACCCAGAAGGCACTCATTTCTTCCCTTGCTTGACCACTCTACAGCATTTGCACTTCTGTCCTTTATCTATACCCTCTTCCCTTGACTCCTGGGACGCCAAAGTCTCTCAAATATCTCCTGGTTCTCTGGATGCCCCTTCTCATGTTGTTTTGCTGGTACTTCCTCTTCTATATTAGCTCCATGAGCAAGAGTGGACACAAGTTTTATGAAACTTTTTTGAGATTGCTTTTAAAAAATGCAAGATTAAGAATGTAAAGTGAGGCACAAAAATGGGTATCTACTTACTATAAGAAAACAGAACTAACAAAAATTTTAAATATGACAAATGGCAGAAAATTAATGTATTTCTATTGTGTCAGTCAGGCATAGTTCTGTAGTTTTTCTATACTTTTGTCTGCATATTTACTGTTTCTGTATGTGATAACAATTTGTATCTGTATATATACTTATTAATATAAATATAAATGCAAATATAAATATATATAAATATACATATAAATAAGTATATATGTATATATCTCCATCCATCCCCAGGTATGAAAGAGCTCTGGCCACCAATACAGTCATCAAGCTACCTAGAATGAACTAAGGACTGCTAAGGACTGGTATAAGAGCAACACCACCAATCAAATGTCTCCATGTCCATTGCCAGGGGGTTTATAATATACTTTTCATAGGGGTAATAGAAAAATAACTCAGTATTTTTTTCTAGCACAGTTTGGCCATTTTATTTTTATTATTAATAAATGGGATTTGCAAGATGTGCATCCTCACACACACGCAGACTCAGTGTAGTGCTGCTACAAATGTGCTCCACAAACACATAAATTCTGATGAGTTCTATTTTGCTTGATTACCATCAAAACATAAAAAATGTATGGTACTTTTATAACAGCATATGCTACATTACTAACTGCAAATGAGAGACAACTTCTGTTTTGACTAAGTATAGATGAGGCCTAAATTCTCTGCTAATAATTGTATGTCTGATGATTGGAGGAAGGATTCAGCTGTAGCCTTAGACTCTGTAGGTTTCAGATCTTATTTTTTTTCATCTAGCCACAAAATTTTGGAACTGGGCACTGTAGGACACATTTTATCTTTTTAAGGTTTTACTTATTTATTTATTTTTAGAGAGAGGGTAAGGGAGGGAGAAAAAGTTGG